ACCCCCCCCCGAGAACCCGCAGGCACCCGGCGGAGAGCACACGGCTGTTCCCACACGTGGAGAACTTTTAACGAACACGTGAGGAAAAGACAGCAGTGTCTGTGGAAAATCTGCCTCACAACTCCGGCGTCCTGCCCAACCCCTCCCTAACAGCTGGTTTGCTGCGCTCCCGGGGGTTTTCGCCCCCTTCTACTGATGTCCCAGCTGCGGGTCACACGCTTGGAACGCAGCTCTCCGAGCGGCCCCCCCCGGGCACCCGGACGCGCGAAGCACCCCCAGCGGGCGGCCTTGCAACCCGTCTGCGCCTGCGCCCAGAGCTCCAAGACGGGGGCGGGGCCCTGAGGAAAGGGGCGTGTCTCTCGCCGGCGCGCTGGGGGCGGAGCCGTGGGACCCGTGTGGTCCTGTGACCTGCGGGTTGACCTTCCCGAACGCTGGGTCCCGTGACGTCACCTCGCCGTGACGCGCACGCTGTAGGAAAACTGTAAGTTTCGGAGGATTCCTGCAGCTTCCCGGGCCTGCGGGGCTCTCCCTGCTGCTCGTCTTCCTGGTGTTGGTAGTGGCTGTGGGTTGTTCGATCCTGGTGCGACCGGAGAGCCGCCGAACCTGGCGAAGGGACAGGTGCCTGCCTGGGCGGGAGCGCGCCCTCTGTGGTGGGAGGGCCAGGAGTGCCTGCGGCGAGGCTGCACTCCGCTGCACGGGGCCCCAGCCTTTACTTCTGGTGTCTGTAGGGCTTTCAGAGCCTGGGAGCGAGGTCATCCAAGGGGGAAGGGCCAAATAGGAGAGTCCTCCTTTTTCTTCATTGCCGGAGGGACTTTGATTCCCTTCAGGCCAGGAGTTTGACATTGCTAAGTCTGGGGTAGAAGTTTCCTTCAGAGATTCCATATCCAGGCTTCCTGTGCGATCCCAGGAGTTACCAAATCGCCTAAGACAATTTGTAAAGATACCCACTTGCCTCAGTTTTCTTTTTGTGTAAAATGGCGTTTAAGCAGACTCTGGCCTTCCTAGTTGTCATTCCCACAGGAATAGGAATTGTGAGAGCGCGTGAGGTAATACAAACATGTAACCTTGCTGGAAGAAAGCTTATGAAGACAATTGGTTATTCTGAGAGTGTACTGGCCAATGGCTATTTGACAAAGGTCTTGTAGATAGTGACCTTTTTTACAATTCTGCCTCCTCACCTTGCCCCCCTCGCTAATCTGATCCCAGACAACACTTGAGCCTGGGGGGTGGTCTGAACTTCATCACTGAATTTGGTGGAATACGGATCAAGACATAACTGGTACCATTATCACAATGATCTGGACAATTACGAAGTCCCCTTTGGGTTTTTCAGAGAAAGCTTTTAGAGTGTTGAAACTAGTACTTTATGCTCAGTACAGATGTACTGTGAGTTTTAGGGGTTTTGCTGTGTAAACTTAGAATATACCATCATTATATCTGACTCCTTGAATTTTTTGGCTTGCCAAGTGTTAATACATTATTAATGAGTTTGTACCATACTCAAAAGTATGTACCATGTACACACTTCAGGAGATTGAAAGGTCACATTTCTGTAAATTCAGTTTCAAGGGTGTAATTTCCTTCCATCTTGGTTTGAGGAGGCTTAGAAAGCAGGGATCCTTATATTTGTTCTATCAGTTATTAGCTCTGTGTCTAAAGACAAGTCACCCAAACTTGAAATTTTCTTTTCTAAGATGGGAGATGATGGTATATCTGCTGTTGCTTTTTCAAGGATCAAATGAGATCATGAAGTTTGTTATTGCTATTGAGAAATTTTCATTGGTCCCCAAGCCTGGAAAAGAGAAATAAGAGATGTGTGCATTCAAAGTCAGGTTCTAAGTCACCACTAGAACTAGAGCAGCAAATAAGACACAATCTCCAACCTAGTGGAGCTCATGTTCCATGGGGAAATAGGCAACAAAGAGTAAGTACATAATATTATTTCAAATAGTGACACATAAAGTGATATAAAGGAAGATAAGAGAAAAACAGACAGTGGGAGAACAGGACAGGTTATTTTAAGGTCTATCAGGGAAGGCCTTTCAAAGGAGGTGACAGCTGAGTCAATTGAAGTGGAGGAAGAGCCTGAGGTAGGAACATTTCGGGGAGGAATAATAACAGCAGTAAACACTTATGTACAGCTTATATGTGAGGCACTCTTAATTAAATTATTACAACAACCTTATGAAGTAAGTACTCATTCCCATTTTTATAGATGAGGAAACCGACACAGAAAGATTAAGAATTTGCTCAGGGTTGCACAGCTAAAATGAAATGGAGACAGTATTTGAATTTGGGCAATCTGACCTCACAGTCCATGCTCCAGCCAACAATACTGCCTCACAGTAGGAACAACAATGGAACAATGCTCAGAGGTGGAAGCAAGCCTGAGGTGCCAAGGCATTGCAAGGTAACAGTGTTGAGAAAACAACAAGGAAAGGGGCAAGTGATGGCAGATGATGTTGGAGGGCCAGACAGACTGTGGGGGCCTTTGTAGGCTGTGATGAGGTAAAGACGTTATTCTAAGAGTGGTGGAAAACCTTTGGAAGGTTTGCATTAAAGTAATAGCATCTGATTTCTGTTTTATTAGGTAGAATATTAATTGAAGGGTCCATGGAATGGGGAGTCTTAAAAATGGGAAGATAGGAGACTATTGCTGTACCTGGTGGTGTCTTGGGCTAGTGGAGGTAGTTGGTAGAGATGGTAAGAAGTAGTCAAATTCATGATACACTTTTGAAGGTAGAGCTGCTGGTGTGGACTTACTAATGTGGGTTTCTCTAAAACCTAAAACTTTTAGGTTTTAGGCTGGAACAACTGGAAGGTAATGCTGTTTATTGAGAAGGGAGAAAGGGGTTTGAGAAGGAAATCATGATTTCTGTTTTGGACAAGTTTCAGATGCCTAGTAACACTAGTACTGGTGCTGCTAATAATAATAGTAAGCACTATGTAAGCCTACACTGTTTAGTAGGCAGGGTTTTAAGCATTTTTACATATCAGTTCATTTAATTCTTATAACAGTTGTATGTCTCCATTTTACAAATGAGAAAACAGGCACAGAGAGGTTAAAAGTCACTTGCCGAAAGTCACCCAGCTTGTGCGTGATGGAGCTGGGATTCAAACCGAAGCAGTCTGTCTTCAGAGTCCATGCAGTTAATTTCTGTAACTACCTCCATGTTAATATGTTGAGTAGGCATTTGGGTATATGAATATAGAACTCAGGAGAATGATCAGGACTGAAGACACACATTTATATTCCTGAAGGGAAAGACTATGTTGTTTCTCATCTAAGTCTTGGTTGGCAATAGGCAAAAAAGAACATAGGCAAAGGGGCTGTGATAACTGATCACTAATTACTTGATTCTGTTCATGCAGCCAATATTCAATATTCCCCTTCCATGAGGGTGAGATACCTATCTCTTTCACTTCTCTACTTTTAATCCCTAATCCAGTGATGGCGAACCTTTTGAGCTCAGCATGTCAGCATTTTGAAAAACCCTAACTTAACTCTGGTGCCGTGTCATATATAGCAAATTTTTGATATTTGCAACCATAGTAAAACAAAAATTTATATTTTTGATATTTATTTTATATATTTAAATGCCATTTAACAAAGAAAAATCAACCAAAAAAATGAGTTCGCGTGTCACCTCTGACACGCGTGTCATAGGTTCGCCATCACTGCAAATCTAATGCCTGCCATGTAGACATTAGGGATGACTTTATATGCAGGACATTTGGATAAATTTTGGAGGTTAGAGATGAATAAAACAGCATTTTTCCTGGAGGAACTTAGTATGATGAAAAACCTGTGGGAATAAAGCTAGAGTAGACTAACTGCATAAATGCATGCTGATTAGTTCATTCTGGCCTTCTGTAGCCACCTCCGCCCTATTTACTTAAGGGATGGGGCATGAAGGGTTCAAAGGAGCAAAAGAATGCCTAAGCAGTTGCAGGATGAATTTGAGGCTCTCCCAGCCCTTTTCAACAAAAAAGAATTCCTCAAAATCTTGCATACATTACTGTATTTGCATTAATTTTATTTGGCAGTGATAAAATTTTTACAAAATGAAATATATTCTGATATTTGAATATCATTGTGGATTGATGAGTTTTTTTCCAGTTCTATTACCTCAGTGTTGACAGGGCTCACTAGTGAAATAAGGGAGTCGGCTTGAAAAGCTGCAGCTTGCAAAATAGAGGGTGATGGAGGGGCTGTGTGAAGTATTTAGTCAGGTTTCCACCAGTTTCAGTCTTTCACTCCAAAGTTCCACATAATGAAATAAGTTTGAGTTCCTCTGATGATCATCTCTTTAAATATCTTATATGTGAACATTGTAAAATGTAGAAACTAGAACAATACACACACAAAATAAGACTCTTATTTCTGTAAATTTCTTTCAAGGTTTACTATACCTCAATTCATTTATCACAATTTTATTACTTCCTAACATGAGTATTTCAAATTTGAGCTGTTAAAAGATTAGGTAAAACTGCACTATTATAGATTTTATGGTTAAATCCAGAGTTTTTTATTACAGTATATAAAATTATATTTTGTTTAGCTTTTTTGCTTCCAGTGGGAGTGTTGATCTGAATAAACAAATCTACCAGTAATTCTTTTTTTTAAAAATATATATTTTATTGATTTTTTTACAGAGAAGAAGGGAGAGGGATAGAGAGTTAGAAACATCGATGAGCGAGAAACATTGATCAGCTGCCTCCTGCACACCCACTACTGGGGATGTGCCTGCAACCAAGGTATATGCCCTTGACTGGAATCAAACCTGGGACCCTTCAGTCCGCAGGCCGACGCTCTATCCACTGAGCCAAACCGGTTAGGGCCACCAGTAATTCTAAACAGGAACCTTCCACAAATATATTGTAGAGATGATGTGCCATCTCATTTTGCAGTTCACAACATTTTAAATCTGCTATTGTAGCTTCCGTAAATTTAATGGAGTTGAAATGATTAGCATTTCTTTTTTTAAAATATATTTTTATTGATTTCAGAGAGGAAGGGAGAGGGAGAGAGAGAGAGAAACATCAATGATGAGAGAGAATCCTTCATAGGCTGCCTTCTGCACTCCCCCTACTGGGGATCGAGCCCGTAACCCAGGTATGTGCCCTTGACCTTAATGGAGCCCAGACTCTTCAGTCCCCAGGCCAATGCTCTATCCACTGAGCCAAACCTGCTAGGGTTGATTAGCATTTCTTTATACCATAATTGTATTTAGCTTCCCTAAGAATATTAGATGTGGTATAAAGTAGAATTCAATCTTAAATGGCCTGTTGATTTCTCAGGCTTTGTCACTTTGTAAGTTCAGGCTCAGTGAGGGCAGATTGATGGTTATTTTGTTGTTTCAGATAGCTCCCAGCAGAGCAGGAGTGATGGTAAGCCCTCCTATTGGAAGACAACAGAAGCCACTCTTTCTAACACTGAACCATATGAAATATAGCATCATATGAAATAGGAAAAATAACTTATAAAATAAAAGTTCCTTTGAAAATTCATATTACATAAACAAATTTAAAAACCACTACCTCATGTTAAGAGAACAAATGTAAATATATGGAAATTGTTTCTTAAGAAAACCATGCATCTATATCAATGATGCTATGTAGTGTCACTAAATATAATTTTTAAAATTCCACTTCTTGTGGTTTCTTTTATTGTAGCTGGGGTTCAGTAGATCTTAAATCAGAGTCAGTGTCCAGAGTTTCCTTTCCATATTGGAGCAGAGTCCAATTCAGCATCAGGCTAGCTAGTTTGTGTTCCCTGCTGCAGTCCATCAGTCCATTGCATGTGTGGACTGCAGTGCCACATGGCTATGGAGGAAATGCGGGTGAAGCCAAGAGCACAAGAGCAACAAGAGAGAGAAATCCTTTGTTTAGGAAATCATGTATTCCCAAACTTTCATGACCTTGCAGTGGCCATGCCCATTCTGGCCAACAATTTCTGTCCCTGAGTTTGACTGACAGACAAGTACCTTCCCTGTGTCACTCCAGCTTTACTGAACATGCATCAATCTTCCTTTTGTTGGATCCCTTTCCCTGTTGTTTTTTGTTGTTGTGGTTTTTTTTTTCAGGGAATTGGCCAGTGTTTCCTTGGGGAGTGAAGAATTGCAGCTTCCTGGTGAAGCTGCCCAAATGGCATGTGTTTAATGTCTGGCCTTCCCTCTTTGCTCCTTTCCTATTATTAATAACTAGTTAAGTACAGTGGTATCAATTCCCCCTTTAGAGAACTTAAGCCTTGCAATATTACAAGGGTAAATGGCTGAAGGTCTTTATTTTTTTGTAACTGTTTTAGGCCGTCAAAGGTTATAGACCTGTCTATTCCAAGGCTTAGAGGTACTCCCCTATCTGGTAGAGGAAGAGGGAGCAAAAGGGAAAGGATTTTGCAAAGTGTAAGTTTGATGTCTCTGGGAAGTGGAATAGTCGATGTTTAGAGGATGATGCATTGGACAAGCTGGCATTCTTGTTGTATTCTAGAAATGACTAACTTGGCAAGAAGGTTAAAAGGCATAATTCAAAGGTGAGGAGATTTATAGCAACTAAAGGACTGGTGAGAGGTCAAAACCTATGTGGTAGAGGGAAGAATTAATTTTACAGTGTTTTAGATTAGGATGGAAGAGTGGCTTCCCTCAGGTATATGTATCACATTTGTCTGTTTTTTGTTTATTATATTTAACTTAAATTAAGCTAAGGGAAATATTCTAAGATTTCTCCCATGAGAAATTGTGGGCCCTGTTTGTCTGAACCATTTGGGAGAAAAGGGAAAGCAGTTTTAAGTGAAGTCGATAGACTGTCCATATTTTATTGACTCAACCGTAAGTCCAAACCATTTAGTCTTATTTTAGGACATGGTGATGCAGATGGCTTTTAAAGTGAGGCTTATATTGGTAATAATCAGATAAATAAGGACATAAGCATATATTCTATGAAAATAGAAGGACAAACATAAAACACAAGGTTAATGCATACAGTAAATCATAAAACAGTTGAGAAGACTTTTAGATACAAGGCTTTTCTTGGAATGAAATCAAGCAATGACAATTTGATAAGATTTTTTCATATTTAAGAACATCTCTTGTGATGTTATTAGGTGTTGAGATCTGTATGGAATATATAGACACAGTTTTAAAAGCAAAACTTTGAAGCCAGTTCATTGTATTGGAGTCCAGTATTTATAATTGAGCATTGTGGTTTTTATTGACATGTTTTTTTTTCTAAGATTATCCTTATTTTTAAAAATATATATTTTATTGATATTTTACAGAGAGGAAGGGGGAGGGATAAAGAGTTACAAACATCGATGAGCGAGAAACATCGATCAGCTGCCTCCTGCAAACCCCCCACTGGGGTTATGCCCACAGCCAAGGTACATGCCCCTGACCAGAATCGAACCTGGGA